TATATATATATATGACTATTCTTCTGATGATACAAAGTATGATAGTTTATATCTGATGGTACCACTTATGATGGTTTATCTGATGATACAGATAAACAGTACAACAATCCCATTTGCAGTAGATGTTGCAGGCCCTCACAGTTTCACAGTTGTCCCACAAAACGTGAGTACAAGTGGCGTCAATACAACAGGAAGAAAGAGATAAATGGAAGATCGGAATTGTAAAGATTGTAAGGGCCTTAGGCCTCTATCAACATGTCGCATATCATTTAGGCTGCTTCAGTCTTGCCTTTCATTACCTACCCAGGCTGAAGGAGGATGGGGAGGGGGGATGGGAAGGGTGGGGAAATGAGGAGAGCAGAGGTGAGGGAGGAATAGAAAAGATGGGAAGGGGGAACAGAAAGGGGGTAGCGGAAAGATTGATAGGAAGGGGGAAAACAGCCAGTTTGGGTTTGCTGAGTTTGTCTTGAAAGACCTTTCATTTTATATGAACCTTAGTCACGAAAGAGGATCATATTAGTCAGCAGAGAGTAGAATGAGGAGCCATTGGAATGCCAACTGCTTATTCCATTTATAATAATAACTCCATTTTAAAATAAAAATTGTAAGTGTTTTACAGCGCTCGCAACTGCATAAGGTCAGGTGAGCGCAAGACACATGAAGCATTTTCAGTTCGGTTGGAACTAATTTTGAATTTTGCTAGGGTGGTGGCCAAGGCCTACTCTTATCGATTTTAGGAATACCAAAGGATCTTTAACAGGCACAACTTGCACAGGGAGCCTCCGAAATTTTTTGGCCCTTATACGAGAAGGCAGAGTTAGAATGTTAGATCTTACCCACCCAAAGATCAAGGGTATGGCTGAAAAACAGCAATAAGAAGGAGCCAAGGAGTAGCAGGAGAAAGGCAGTAGAAAGAGTCAGGAGCCCAAAGGAGGGGATGAAGGGGGCAGGGTAAGAGGAGGAGGCGAAAAGTGTTGAAAAAAGTAGATGACAGAACACGGTTAGAGCAGGAAACGTAACAGGAGAAATTTTTTTAATAGAAGAAAGTTTTCCCGTCACTGTCAGATTTCGAACTCTGGACCTATTGAACGAGAGGCGAACGCCATATCTCTAGACCACAAGAGCCCCAAATAAAACCTCAGGTCAATCTGTCATACAATAGCAGACTCCAGCATTGATTAAACAACTCTGTGTGCAGATTTTGTATCCTCTGTATTTTCAACCACTTATAATACCATGGACAGCAAAATATCTTGTCAGTTTGTTAGTGTCTCAGCACGTGTAATCTCCAGCTTGCACTGTATGCTTCTCAAGAAGCCGAGAATGTTTTTAAGTGTGCTTGGGTCTGCTGGGGTAATAATAATTGTAAAGCACATAGAGCTTGCTGTAGAGTGAGGATATATGCTATATAAATGCAATTATTATCAATTATCATAACTATTATATAATATCTTTGGTAATCTTTTGTGTAAAGATACACACACACACACATTTCTGTAAATAAATTGTGGACGGGATGAATACAGGTTGGAAATATTGCTGGGATGTAATATGACATTTTCAAGAATAGCAAATTATCATAGTAAAACAGCTCCAATATCACAGGCTCTTACAGCAGTAACATAATAAAGAAAAAAAGTGTTAAAAACATAAGGAGCTACTCAAAGATTAGAACATGATGCTGATGACGTCAACACATTCAAAGAATGTAAGCATGCCCTGTAATATTTGGCCTTTCAGGAATTTGACATTATATTGCAAATGTAAAGAACAAATCCAACGCAGAAATTTTGAGCCTAAATTAATTGATGCATGTGTACTGCTTGATGAACAAATCATTTACACAATAATTATTTATCAATAAAACAGTTTGACAATGTATAGAAATCATTTCGAATGACTCACAGACAACAATGGTCGTATTCAATGATGATGATCTAAACACAAGACTTCATTCATGTGGTGCGTTTTTTTCAATTCGTTTGTATATGAGCCTTTTCTGAAAAAGCATCCGTTGTGTTCAAATTCCCCCCAAAAAGAAATTATTGCAATTAGTATTTGACATTTTCTCAAGTTTCAAATTTAATCATGGAGAAAAAAAGTTCATCACCAAAGAGAGATATTTACTACACACAGCACACAATGTGTGCGCGTTGGAATGAGCAACTTTCGCGCCAGAAAATAAACTCATGTTGTGAATTAATCTGGAAGAGAAATTCTGATCACGTACAAGTCATTCAGCAACTTCTCACTCGGGAATGGATTTTTTGTCACCAACATAAACTTGAAATTTGCCAGCCTCATGTCGTTGAACTTTGTCCTTTCATATTCGGGCCCATCTTCTTTCTTGATGAGCTTCACGTACCTGAGGAAGAAGACAATAGTGGATAGTTATAATCAATGTGAAATATCTTGTCTATTGGTAGTGATTTCTATTTCACCTCATCATTTTTTTCTAGGGGGGGTGTTCTGGGTTTTTTTGTTGTTGTTTTTCAAATACTATAATGACCAAGACAAATGATGTTTTGCCTTATAGAAATATCAGTTCTTTTTTTTCTCTTCAGTTAAACTAAGACAGAAAAACGGGAGGATGGAAATGGGAAAAGAAAAGTAGGGTTCTGGGTTTGAGTAAGGATAAGTGTAACTCATCCATCAATGTCTGACGACGACGAACCTATCTGTGAAAGAGAATCTCAAGAGAAATAGAAAAACTAGAAAAATCAAAAGTTAAGATGACTTGTGGCTTCTGCTTTAACCGATGAGACCAATTCTGGCAGAGAAAACTTTGGCACGTTATGGGAAAGGATAGATGTATGCAGACGTTTGACTTGCACGAAGATTTGTAGTGTGAAAGAGCGACCCAAACATCAGACTCACTCTCTCACCTAGATACTATGTATCTGATGGTAAGAGAAGCATAATATTGAAACAATAATGATCCTTTAGGGTGGAGAAAAAGCAAGATAGAATAATAGAAGAAGAGTGTGTGTGTGGGGGAGGGAGGGGGGGGGCAGTGAAATGAAAGTTTTTATTTCCGATGTCATTTTTTAATCCTTCTTCTTTCTGTTTTTCCCTTCCTGTGAATAAAATGTATACTGTTGTAGCCTGTCTACAGTTGTTCCACTCATTCACGTCGCTGATGTTGCTGTCATTGCCACTGACACTGCTATTGTTTTTCTTATGCTTGTTTTCATTATTGTTCTTGCTTATGTTGGTGTTGCTGTTTTTGTTATCAAAGCTGATATACCCATTGCTGTCATTTTAGTTGCTGCTTATTTAATGGTAAAATAACAAACGAACAACAACAAAAATGGCAAAACAATAAAACAGATAACTTGCTTTTCCTCCTCCAAAATGGACTTGTCCAAGATGGCTGCCATGAGTCCAGGTTGAATCTCTTCAAAGCGATCACAACATGTCTGAAACATGTCTACCTCCATCATGTCCACCACAAACGGTTTGCCAAATCTGGAGATGTCAAAAGCACACTTAAAACACAGTAAAAACACACTCATCACTCTTGGAAAACACACTTAAAACACTCAGGGTACCATCAAAATCACTCAAAACCCACTCAACACATTCAGAACAAACTAAAAAGATTCACCCAGAACTCACTCAATAATACTTACAACACATTCGAAAGAACATTTCTCAGCCAAAATGTGTTGTAAAGAAACAAGACTTCTTCATTCATCTCAAATGTTTGACACCCTCATCAAAATAACTGAAATCCTTCACGCTTTGCTTTCCATGGGCCATGTTCCATTGAAATACAGAATCTGCACTAATGGCAACCTGTCCAAGACAAGCGCCTGTACAACCCACCATTTATCACTTAATCCTTGTGTTTTTTGCTAATATTATAATGACACTGTCCAAGAGGAGCACTAGTCTAAGATAACCACTTTTATCCTCGACAATAGGTGACCCTCTTGAACAATTTTGACTGTACATTTAAATGTCAGTGATAGATTTGAAACATGTTGGTGCAAACAGTAAATCTGGCTTTTCTGAATTTGTCTTGAGAGACATCCAGTGTACGTGAATGTTGGTTACAAGTGAGAACGGAGAGTATGGGCCTCCGATGTTTGTTTTGAGAGATTTCTATTGTACTTAAATGATGACCATAAACTACGTACAGCCTAACCACTGCACTACAGGCACTGATCATTCTAGAGAGAAAATAGTGATACACTGACTTACCAAAACACCTGGAAACAAAACCAATTGATCTGTTTAATCATTGACAGTTACCTGATAGCACCCAGCAGGCTGCGTCTCACGTTGTTGTTCTCCATGTCCGCTGGCCGAAGCGCATTGACACAGTTTGTGTCGCGATATCGAAGGAAAGTGGAAGCCTGGCCGGATGGATCAATCAATAGAGGCCATCTGGAAGATGAGAACAATTCTGAAGTCAAACACTGAGATCACAAACTGTGAAATCAAATGCCACTTCCTGAGTCACATCATTAAAACAGTTTCTTTTACTAAGAATTGAGATATATTTTTGCATCATGTTTAATATTGAAACTAAGAGTGAAGCCATGCCTTTCAAAACCTTATTCCAAACTGAATTCAAAATGAGACACATAATCGGCACAATACCCCACAATACATGATTATAATCCTACCTCACCAATCCACAAAATATCAGACAATGCTTCACTATACAACAACAATCTACATACTAAATTACAACAGATCATAAAAGTGAAAGCTGAGAGTAGAATAACAGCATAAATATCTCATGTCTGCAGGACACACAGAGCCCTAAGAAATGAAACATGGCTAACCTCATTAACACTACAGGAGAAGCTGTTTGGGCCAGCAGAACTAAGCAGGGCAGCCCACTACATGGTAAATATCGGTCTTCAAGTGGGAAGCAAAGAGAAGAAAAAGAAGATCTTTTATCTCTGCTAAAAAAGGGTTCTGAAACAAGGACACTACTAACTTCCCAGATAACACGGAAAGCTCCAATTCGTCTGGACCAGCCTCGGTAGTTCGAGGGATATCTTAGAAAGATAAAGAATTTTTTTTTAATGGGACCGCAGGCACAGTTCGATGGATGAGTGATTTCAAGTCTTCTGTGTTCGGCCTATACGTGTTGTACTGTACTACATGATTAATGCCCTACAGCGTCACATCAAACAAAGATGCCACATACTTTCCTGAATCTTTAATCCTGTTGCCAACGTCTCGGAACAAAACCTCATCGAGATCTTTGACCAGTATCTTGAGGCCCGGCAACTGATCCTCAACTTCTTCATCTGTAACACAAGCAGGTCAGAGACTCATATGGTACCATTGGTAAGTATTTACCAAAACTATCCGGCAGTTGATGCAAGGATAGAACATAGAACTAAGAAAGTCCAACAGGTAGACTGGAGTGACATATTCATGACATCAGAGACATTAGTGAACAGGAAAAACTTGACACATAACACTTGGGTGAGTGAGTGAGTGAGTGAGTGAGTGAGTGAGTGAGTGAGTGAGTGAGTGAGTGAATGGATGAGTTGGTGGGTAAGAATGTGAGTGAGTGGGTCGAAGAGTGAGGAAGAGAGAGAGGGGGCGAGTTGATAAGTGTTTGAGTGAGTGAGTGAGTGAGGGGGCGAGTGGATGAGTTCGTGAGGGAGTGAGGTAATAAGGGAAAGAAGGAAAGAGGGAGTGGGTAAGTAAGCATGTTGGAATAAATCCACTTTCAACACAAAATTATTCAAGAGTCAGAACCTCCAAATTTAACCCTAATTCTGACAAGACTGGGCCAAATGGGCTGAAAGCTATGTGAAACTCCACAAAATGACCCAAGTTCAAAAACACCCAGATAGGGATTCAAACTGGGCCATCCACACCTAAGTACAGCATGAAACTGATACTAACTGAGCTAATAGAACACCTATAATATTTGAGACACTAGCTTTGCACAAACAAATCTGAACATAATATATTACACTAACTTGGGACATTTTGGACAAAAGCTACTTACACTCCAGACACAATTGACAATAGCTAGAAAAACTCTTACATTTTGTCCCCACAGCTAAGACATGAAACGGGGCTGACCTCACTTACATTACAGTAAAAAAACTATATGGGCCAACCTAGGAACTTAACCAAACCACTCAGTATGCAACGAATACTGTTTTTTAAGTCAGATGTGCTCGAGAAGAAAAAGAAGCAAAGAAGTTCTGAGCTCAATAAAATGGACAACCAAACAATGAAATGGGAGATGAAAAGTCTAATCAATAGCTGCGTACCCTATGTTGACACCTCCACCAATAAAAGTTCATTATTGTGAGCTCATTAAAAAAAAACCCAATAAACTGTATTTTTAAAAAATGATCAAGAGAAAAGATTACCTTCAGCGGCCATCGACTCTCGGAGCATGAGTCTGGCCTTTGCCAAATTGTCTCTCGCCTTGGCCACGTCAATCTTCAAGGTCTCCACCTCAAGCTCTTGATCATGTATAGTCTACAGAGGGGAATCAGTCGAAAAGGAAAAGGGGGAGGGGAGGGGAAGGGGGGACAGAAAGTACTAAAGTAGTATTGTACCTTTTTGTTTGGGGGGACATGTTGAATATTTCACTAAGTACACGTATGCAAGTCATTTTATAAGCAGGTCAAAAGGTGTGTGTGTTGTGTGTGTGTGTGTGTGTGTGTGTGTGTGTGTGTGTGTGTGCGTGTGTGTGTGTG